TGATACCGAACCGGAGCACACAGCGGAGGCTCTACTCCGTTGTGGGCCCCGTCCCTCAGTAGCGTACGCCTAACGGGGTGCTCCTCGGCGTACACATGCTACAATTTCCCCGCACCGGTCTCCTGTTTCCGTCCTGACTCCGTTCCCCCCGAAGGCACGGGTACCGCCGTGATTCGCGGGGCGGAGTGCTTTCCGCAGTAGCGTACACCTAACGGGGTGCTCCTCGGTGTACAATCGCTACTGAAAAATTCACGCATCACGAGGCGCCGCTCGGGCGTGGTCCTGTCCTGACCAGATTCCTTTTCCTGATTCCTGACCGGTATAGAACTCAGGGGGGTAATATTCGGGTGGGAAAGAATATTCCTCATTAGCTCTAATAGTAAGCTCCGTAGTATTAATCCCATTATTATTTTTCCCTTGCAGACCAGAAGGGTCCGTGCAGTCATCCTGCCTGACTGTGTCCAGTATTACCAGTTATTTCCGTACTCCGATTTGATTCCGTATTGTACTCATTACTTTTCCGTACTGATTCCGTACTTTCCGTACCTCGATATAGTTCCGTATTATACTCATTATCTCCGTACTCCGATTTGATTCCGTATTGTACTCATTATTTCCGTACTCCGATCAAAATCTGTATTGTATTCATTAATTTCCGTACTTGTTGAAATCCGTATTGTAATCATTATTTTCCGTATTCCGAGTTGATTCCGACTAATCATATCCTGTTTTTTCCTCTGTATTTAACCACAGGGCGGACTCGTTGTAATATTAATCCTTTTTCTTTCCTTTATATTTTTACTCTAGGGCGGACCCATTGTAATCATCACGAGATCCCTTGTATTAGTTCCTGAATAAACCTCGTTCATATCAATTTTCACCTCTAAACACCTGTCCGACTTATTTCCGATCCTCCCAAGCGATTGACTCTACTGAGTAATTAAGATCTCGTCCTCCTTTCCTCCCGACGGCCCTGGAGCTGAGCATATTCGGCAAATAGGAGGAACGGAGGATCCCTTTTTTCCGATACACAGCACGTCAAACACCGACCGAGAGCACGCTGGCTCTTCCGACCGGTTAGTCAGAACCGCGCGTCTGATTAAGTTCCGCGAAGCATAAACGGATTTCGGAATCCCGTCCGAAATCCGGAGACCAGAACCGGGGAGAGCAAGGCGGGCTATCGTTACAGAGTAAAACAGGAACTGTTCTTCCTAATTTTCCACGTATCGTTATTCGTACATATTTGGATAAAGATTTATATAAATCTGGTGCTTCCTCTTTTGAAATTGTAGTGGAAGTTTCTAAATTTTCAATTAAGATACGTTCTAATTCGCCAGCACGTCTTCTGTTGAATATCATGGTAGAGACTAATGTTGTTTCGGATAATGTACGCCATACTTGAATAGAAAATCCATCTTTTTGTAATGCTTTAAAAGCATTCATGCGTTCATTTTTCAAATAGGTATTTAATATTTTAATATCATCCATAGATGGTAAAACTATATTTTTTTGTCTCATTCGGCGTCCTTGAGTTTCCTGCACAACTTTATTTACGCTGATAGGATAATCTTCTTCAAATAAAAAGTTTTCTAGTACGACCTGGTTGTCAAATTCTTATTTCTTGATATACATACTTCTTAATATTTGTCCAACTTGTTTTATGAGTGTTCCCAAGGATGATGCAGTAGAAGGTACTTTATATGTCCAAGTTTTTTCATCAAATTTTGCAAGATTATTTACAGCCATAATGCAGAAATCATATTTTGTTGGATTATATATTGAACTAAAATCTTCTACAGTATCATCAATTTCTTTCATAGCAGCGAGATATCGTCCAAGTAATCTTAATCGTGATCTAATCATGTCATGCTGATGTTGAAGACGATACTTCAAACACATTTTATTTCCATAAGCAATTAACAATTCATCATATCTGATAAGTTGAGTTACACTGTCTTCCCTCATCACTGGAAACACCAATCTTCTTAAAGTTGTACTTGCACTACAATGTATACGACAAGCCACAGTACGTCCCAATATTTTTATATTTCTTTGACGATTCTCTCTATTCTGTGCACACGACTTGAAATGATGCCTAATATTATTTTTAGAAAAAAAGCCTTTGCATTTTGCACAAGGAATAAAATCAGTTGCCTGTTTTTTCAGACGTCGATTCGGACGGCGACATACAATTAAATCTCCTTTATTTAAAGTAGGATCTGTATTGTACATAAAATTTCCTGTTCGTCTGATTATACCAATAATCTTTTTTCGTTCTGAGTTGCCTAAAATATACACAATATAGAAAGTTTATTTTAAATTAGATTAAATTAATAGTTATAACCATAGATTTATGCCATTTACCTTTAGGTAAGAAACAAAACTTCTTTACATCCTCTTCAGTTTTGTGTACTGTCTCTAAATGTCTTGCAAATTGTTTCTGTAATTTCTTACAGTATGGGCACAAACTCAATTTTGATTTAGAAGCCTGAGAGGTATCAACACACATATTTCTATCATCACATATAATTCTTTCAGATGTGCATAATGAAGATGTCAGATTTAATGAACTTCTCATAGTTTCGTTTACATTTACATTAGTCGTATTCTCATTATTTTCACTTTCATCCGTTTCCGATATAGAGCAATCTGACAAATGGAAACTAGACTCATTGTCATTATTAGGCTCACTGTCATTATTAGACTCATTATCATTATTGGGCTCATTAGCATTATTAGACTCATTATTGCACTCATTATCATTATTACACTCATTATCATTAGTATTGGTTATGTGATTAGTAGCTAATTTGAGTGTAGATTCTGCAAGTGGAACAAAAGCCAACGTAGAATTCGATGTAACATCAACATAAGTCTTGTTTTTATTTGAAGAAATATTATCATTATTAACACTATCAGTATTATTGAAATCCATGTTGTTCTTTGTGATATTATCAGTTTCTTTTGTAAATGTTTGTGAATTTTTTAGTTTCACTGAGTCTGTAGAACTTTCAATTTTATCATCAAATTTTGTATTTTCCAACATCATCAAATTATCAAGATTATTACGCTGTTCTATAATACAAGAATTGCTTATTGTTGTACGAATATCTCCATTAGGGTTTACATCTGGTGGAATTACACGACACATATTATTAATATCACTTATTAAAATATCTGAAAAACAAAATATATCAATTACGTCGAGCACTCTTCTAAAATGAGTACATAATATTGAGAGTGTCATAAATGCAAACTGACAATATAAAGCGAAATATCTGACACACATATAAAATATTTAAAAGATATTTAGAAGATATGTAAATAGTGATTAAGTATGAGCGATTAGAAGTATACAGATAGCAAATTTAATCGTATAACCTAGAAAAGGTACGGAAAAGATAAATTATTTGGCTTAAAAGAAACAAAATAATAGAATAAATTTGATTTAAAAAAATATAGTTCAAGAAATATAAAAATATTCTGTCTTGTTTTTGACAATAGAACCTTAACACAGGGAGAGAGAGAGATCGATAGATGAACAGATAAATTGATAAACAGAGAGAGAGAGAGAGAGAGAGAGAGAGAGAGAGAGAGAGAGAGAGAGAGAGAGAGAGAGAGAGAGAGAGAGAGA